TCCTGCTGGCTAACAGCACACTTCCGTTTCTTCCCGCAGCTGTGGCACGCCTGTCCAGCTGTCCGAGCTGAAACTGCTTACCTTCTCATCGGGGCAGCTCACCGTGTTCCTCCCCGCCGAGGTGAAGGCCGTCGGGACGGAGAACGACCACGTCCTTCCTCTGCAAGAGCTGGCCGTGCGATGCCTGTATCACACCTGCCACAGCTTCCTGAAAGGTGCAGGGGACTCCCCTTTCAGTCTCTCTCAGGGAGCGTAAAAAAATGTCTGTTACACAGTTTGCTTTGGCTTTCGTCATTTTATTTTTCTTATTTTTTAATTTTATTTATTTTATTTTGGGATGGTCACGCCGCAATCCCTTCTCCTCCATTCTCCTCTCGGGATCTCGGGCACGCACGCACACGCACCCGGCGTGAGTTTTAAGCCACCGGGTCCGGGACACGAACCGCGGTCGACCACGTGGGAGTCCAGCGACATAGCCATTACGCTAACTGCTGGTTCCCAATTTTATTTATTTTTCATAATGCCAGAGGACATGTGTGCATGCAGAAGAGAAAGGAAACACCCCAACGGGGCCTGGTCGTGCCTCAGTCCCTTCCCTGTTCCCCTCCCTGTCTTCCTCCATCCTGGCAGGATCCTCAGCCTGCAAGCAGGTGTGCTCAGTATGGTTTTCAAGTCACTGGGACTGAGACTCAAGTCCCACGAGAACTGACACCAGGCCACGTGGGATCAGCTCCCTCCACTCAGTGCTTAACTACTCTCCTACAGGGCTGGCCCTGGCTTTAATCTTTTTTTTTTAAAAAAATGTATTCTGATAAAATACACATACCACAAAATGCTAAGCCCTGTGACCCATCTTTAAGTGTACAGTGGATCAGCAACGTTAGGTACATCCACGTTGTCCAATGGACATTTTAGACATGTGCTACAGGGACATGTTTTTGCTGGAGACGTTCAGGGAAACAGAGAGGGGGAAAGTGAGAAATCACCCCCAGGGGGAAGGCCACACCATGGTCACTTCTCCATTCTGCACGTGGAGTTTCGGACATGCACGCACACACACCTGGCACGTTTCTCAGGATGCTGGGCCCAGGACTTGAACTGTGCAACCCGCCATGTGGGATCCAGTGGCTTAACCACCATGCCACCTGCTAACCCCAACAAACTTTTCTTTTTTTTCTTTTGGAGAGGTTTTTGGTATAGGGCGTGTGTGCTCATCAGAAAAGCAGAGACAGAGAGAGACAGAAAGTGAAAAATCACCTCCCCCCTTGCGCCCCCGGGGTGGGGGTGGCCACACTGCAATCCCTCCTCCTCCATTCTCCTCTCAGGATCTTGGGCATGCACGCACACGCACCCAGCATGAGTTTAATAAGCGACCGGGTCCAGGACTTGAACCATGGTCAGCTACATTGGGAATCCAGTAATGTAGCCATTATGCCAACTGCCAGTCCCTGCTCTTTGTTCTTAAAGAATATTTGGTGTTATTCTTTCCTTGCCTCTACCTTAGGACAGGTCCGGTTGCTCTTAAAAGAATGGATTTATGTTTTCTTTTAGTACCAAAAATGTAAAACGTCTTTTATTTCCGAATAACGTTCAATTTTTGTTCAGTGCCTATCAGGCACCCGACTTTTCAACACAAAGTACTTGCACCTAACTGAACTTACCTGAAGGCCCAGGTGAGGGAGGTGTGGTCTTTCGCTCCTGAGCGTGACTCTCTCGCCTGTTCCAGATCTGAACTTCCTGTCCCCGGTCTCGTTGCCCCGAAGTCTGCTGGAGCTCCTGCACTGCCCCCTGGGACACTGTCACCGCTGCAGCGAGCCCATGTTCACCATCGTGTACCCCAAGCTCTTCCCCCTGAGAGAGACACCGATGGCGGGGCTCCACCAGGGGTAATCACGGGGCGAGGGGCGCCACGTGGGGCGGGAGAGGCGTGCTTGTGGGGTGCTACGTGGGTAGTGGGGAGGCATGCTTGGGGGATGCCGCTCGGGGAGGAGGAGGCGTGCATGAGGTGTGCAGGGTGGGGAGTAGGAGGGCATGCGTGAGGGCTATTGGGTGAGGAGGCGTGCTTGCGGGGTGCTGTGTGGGGAGGCATGCTCGGGGGTGCTCCACGGCCAGGACCAGGCATATCTGAGGCTGCTGCATGGGGAGGGGTGGCCCGCATGAGGAGGGTGGCATGGGTAGTGGGGAGGCCTGCGTGGAGGGGGTTGGCATAGAAGAATCGTTAAGGGGGCAGCTTTAAGGGTGTCCCCTGAGAGAGCAAAATGTAACCAACACTCGTTTTCACCTGCACAAGAAAACCGGCCTTCTTTGTGTTAATATTCAGCATACGCAGAGCAGTTTTAATATATGTATGTAATATCATTTACGGCAGCCCATTCTTCGTAGGAATGTTTTCCTGCAGTTCCCCTGTTTACAAACAATAGTCTTTAGACAATAAGGGATACGAGGAAAAAACTTGTTTCATGGAAAGAGCCCAGCCCTGTTATTTAATTGGCGTCGCTAACTGAAAGTGTGTGACCAAATTGTGTGTGTGTGTGTGTGTGTGTGTGTGCGCGCACACTTGTGACTCCGCTCTGGATTTCTAACCCTGCCAAATGGTATTCTCATGCCTCTCTTTATTTATTTACTTGAGAGATTTTTGCAATAGGGTGCGTGTACTTTCCAGAGAGAAAGAGAGAGACAGAGAGTGAGAAATCACCCCCCCCCCAGGGGGATGGCCATGCTGCAATCCCTTCTCCTCCATTTTCCTCTCAGGATCTTGGGCACATATGCACAGAAATCCAGTGTGAGTTTTAAGCCACCAGGTACAAGACTTGAACTGTGGTCAACTATGTGGGAGTCCAGTGACGTAGCCATTACACCATCTGTGGCCCCTGCCTCTCTTATTTTTTGGCACAGAGCTTTGAATTTGGAATAAGGAAAACCCCAGTACTGATAGTTTAAAGACAAGAACATGGGGCCGTTTGGTCAGGGCACTGGATTCCCACATGGCTGACAATGGTTCGAGACCCAGACTCGGTGGCTTGAAAATCACAACAAATAAATAGATAAATAAATAAACAAGTAAATTAAAAAATATATACCATTCAAATACCATACCACCCAGGACAACAAATAAGAAGTCCCGTAGCTACACAACCTTAGCTTATGGGTTTTTTAAATTTGAGATTTTCAAAGTTTGAATTTCCTTTCTTTCTTTCTTTCTTTCTTTCTTTCTTTCTTTCTTTCTTTCTTTCTTTCTTTCTTTCTTTCTTTCTTTTTTTTTTTTTGATAGAGAGAGAAAGAGAAAGAGATTTTTGCTATAAGGAGCATGCGCTCACCAGAGAGATAGAGTGAGACAGAGAGACAGAAGAGAGAAATCACCCCCCAGGGGGGATGGCCACGCCGCAATCCCTTCTCCTCCATTCTCCTCCTGGGATTTTGGGCATGTATGCACATGCATCTGGTGTGAGTTTCAAGCCACCAGGTTCTGAATTTGAACCATGGTCGGCCATGTGGGAGTCCAGCACCTTAACCACTACACACCTGCTAGCCCCAAAGTATGGATATTTTTCAAAGTTTAAAAAAAAAAAAAAAGTCCTATCATGCTTAATTACCCATCAAATATGGTTATTTGGGGTAAGTCCCTTGTTACTGCTTTTCAATACCAAGAAGCATTTCCACTGTGGTCATTTTGATAGAAACCTTCCAAAGTAGTCTGTTCTTTTTTTTTTTATTAATTATCTATTTAATTTTTATTTATTCATTCATTTATTTTAATTTGACCAGAGAGCAACACAGAGAGAAAGAGAGGGAAAATTGAGAAATCAAACCACCAGGTGCGGAACTTGAGCCATGGTCACCATGTGGGAGTGTCCAGCACCTTAACCACCACACCACCTGCTGGCCCCAGTAATTCATTCTTCTGTCCATCCATTCATCCTTCCTCCCTCCCTCCATGCAAGATAGGCTGTGTGACAGTGCAGTGTTCTGAGGGTGGACATGGCACCCGCCGAGCCTGGCTCTTCTCTTGTGAAGCATCGGGCAGGCTCCTGAGTTTCTCAGAGTCCCAAATCAGAACAGAGACACCTGAGCGACAGTCATCGTGAGGCACGCCAGCAGACGCCTGCTACATCGCAGGTACTTACCAAGTAGTTATCACCTCTATATCTCTACGCGCTGTGTCTTTTTCTTGCTCTGGACACTCCTGTTTTGCTATGCTTTCAGCCCCTCCTAGCCAATGTGATCTGACAAGAGAGAAAAATAAAAGGCATTCCCAGGGGCCCAGAGGGGGCATAGCGGTTAAGGCAACGGACTCCCACATGGCCGACCACAGTCCGAGTTCCAGACCTGAAGGCTTGAAACTCAAGCCAGGCACATGTGCATGCATGCCCAAAATCCTGAGAGGAAAATAGAGAAGGTGGAATTACAGTGTGGCCAAAGCCTCTGAGGGATGATTTCTTACTTTCTGTTTCTCTGTCTTTCCGGTGAGCGCAGGCACCCTATAGTAAACAAATCTCTCAAAAGAAAAAAGAAAGAAAAGAGAATAAAATGTGTGTATCAAGTACCTAGGACTAAGGTGATACCTTGTTGTTGAGCAAAGCTGGATTTTCTGTGTTGGCATCAGAGATGAAATGCTAAGACAGAAACGTGGCTTTCTGTGGTAAGTTAATGGTAGGGTTTGAAATTGAGTGTTTGTAGCTTCCATTTGGGCCACTGTACTGTTTCTTCCCAGGTGACCATACAGGTCATGTTAAAAAGCATTCACTTGGGTATCTATTCAAAGGATAGGAGAGCACTCAGTCAGAAAAGCGCTTGCACAGCTATTTTCATTGCAGCATTATTCACGTTTGCTAAGACATGGAACCAACCCAAATGTCCACAGACAGATGAATGGATTGAAAAACTGTGGCACATATACTCCATGGAATACTAGTCAGTCATTAAAAAAAAGAAAAACAAGGCCTTGGAATTTGATAGAAAGTAGATGAACATGGAAGATTTGTTGCTGAGTGAAGCAAGTGAAGCTATGAAAGAGAGACATTGTATGTCTCCATTTAACATAAACCAACTGTCTGCACTCTATGGTAGAGACTGAAAGATGGAGAACATAAAAGTATTAAAAATTGTAATGGACACTAGAGACAAAGTGGAAAGAGAGTGTGGGAGGGGAAGAGCATAGGTAGGAAATTTGAGGGGGAAATGGAGAGGTAAGACACTTGTGGGACACAAATAAGGTTTATTATCTGTTGACGAGGATGTGTGTGGTGGTCTCAACTGGGCTGGACTGAGATGTACATCATGCTGGGTAAAGTCTCTTCACAACCTAAATGATGTATAGTGATTTAATATGTGAATAATAATAAAACATTTTTTAAAAAAAGCACACACTTGGGACCAGCAGGTGGCGTAGTGGTTGAGGTACTGGACTGCTGTTCGAGTCCCAGACTCATAGGCGTGAAACTCAAGCCTTGCGTGTATGCCCAAGATCCCAGGAGGAGAATGGAGAGAAGGGTTTGTGGCTTGGCCATTCCCCCCTCCCTGGGTTGATTTCTCACTTTCCCTCTCACTGTCTCTCTCTGTGTCTCCCCAGCAGTTCACATGCCCTATGGCAAAAACAACAAACAAACAAACAAACAAAAAACTCAAGGAGAAAAAGAAAAACATTGACTTCAGGACTTTACAATACTTCCTTTTAGGTCAACAGGAAAGTCATGACATATTTTTCTATGCAAAAATTTATCATGACTTTCCCAGTGTCCCAATGGGAACCAGATAGTTGAATCTTGCTGCAACCTGCTTGTTGCTGAAAATAAAATCCCTTTTCGTAGTAGTAGTATCAACTCTAAAAGGTCTTAATCATGTTATTTATATGTTTTCTAACATGTTCAGTTCAGTTTGCATTGCTTTTCATAAAATAATGCATTGTATCAGCCAGTATCTAAATGAATGTGGACATCTGGCATTATTTTAAAAGGAAACATATTGAATAGTCTTCTAAAATACCAAGTTCCATGGAAGTGTTAGTTTCAACCTAAATTTAATACAGAGTGAAGTAAAAAAGAAAATACAGTATTGGGTTGTGGAAAAATCATGACACATTTTTGCATAGAAAAGCATAAATAGAAAAAATAGGTCATGACTTTTCCAACAACCTAATATTTTGCCTACACAAGAAATAGCCCAACCTTCAAATATATACAGCAGAGAAGAATGCTTAGTAAACTCATGACTTTGGATCCTGTGGGCATAGCAGATTTTGATTCCCAAAACTTATCTTTCATTTATCAAAATGAAACATTTCAATTGAGAGAATTATTTATTTGCACAATAGCACGTGTCTGACTTTTCCCAAGTGTTCCTGTATCTCTCACTAGCTGGGAGCAGTAGGAAATCAGACTGCCCAGAATCGTTCAAGGCATTATATTAGTTTGCAAGGGACACCACAAACTAGGCAGCCTAAACAACAGAAGTCTGTTGTCTGCCTGTTCTGGAGTCTGGAAGTCCAAGATCAGATGTCAGTCAGCAGGATTGTTTCCTCTCGAGGTTGTGTGTGAAAGCTCTATTCCAGGCCTTTCTTATTAGCTTGCAGATAGCTATTTTCCCCCAATGTCTCTTGACATCATCTTCTCCTTGTGTCCAAATCCATCCCCTCCCCCCCACACACACATTTAGGATTTTATTATAGGGCATGTGAACTCACCAGAGAAAGACAGAGAATAATAGAGAGAGGGAAAGGGAGAAAGTGAGAAGCCACACCCCTGAGGGGATGGCCATGCTACAGTCCCTTCTCTTTCATTCTTCTCTTGGTATTTTGGGCCCACATGTAGCACACATCTTATTTTCAAGCCATCAGGTCTGGGACTTGAACTGTGGTCGGCCATATGGGATCCAGCGCCTTTACCACCGTGCCAAATTTCTCCTTTCTATAAGAATGCTAGTCATTGGATTAGGGGTCAACCTCAGGTCTCCATCTTAACTGTTACATGTCCAAAGACACTGTTTCCAAATATTGGTTCTGCAGTAATCAGAACCTCAGGCCGCCATAACCAAATGGTGTAGACTGGGTGGCTTTAAGAAAAATTTTCTCATGGTTCTGGAGGATAGAAGTCCCAAGTCAGGGTACCAGCATGATTGGGTTCTGGTAAGGTCTCCAAGGCCTCATCTCCTAAACACCATTGGATTGAATGAGAATTTGGACTTACTGAATATTTCACCCCTGATCACTAACATCTGTGGGAATTTCTCCCCACCAGCAACCAATCTGTTCTCCAGTGGACACTAGTGGGGTGTGCCATAATGCAACTCAATTCATTTCTTATACTGTCTACTTGATCTTTCTGAAACCAGCTGGGGATCCTAACAAAAAGTTATCTCATTCACATATAAGAGACACTTACCACTCAGGAGATTCCAAGGATTTTAGGAGCTATATATATGCCAATAAATGGGTGAGGGACAGCAGGTGGCATGGTGGTTTAAGTGGCTGGATTCCACATGGCTAACTACACAATTTGAATTCTGGACCTGGCACCTTAAGGAACACCCAGAGTGCATGCACATGCATGCCCAGAATCCTGAGAGGAGAATGGAGGAGAAGGGATTGCAGCATGGCCATCCTCCTGGGGGGTGATTTCCCACTTTCCCTCTCTCTCTGTCTCTCTCCAGCAAGTGCATGTGCCATATAGCAGGAAAAAACTATTAAGAAAAAAAAGGGGGGAGAATAAATGGGTGGAAAATCAAAAGTGTATTTCATAATATTGCATCCCTCAGAATTCAGATCATTCCTGGGACCAGCAGATGGCATAATGGTTATGTTGCTGGCCTCCCACATAGGCAACCGCAGTTCGAATCCCAGACCCAGTGGCTTTAAAACTCACACTGGGCATGCGTACATGTGTGCCCCAATTCCCGACAGGAGAATGGAGGAGAAGGGATTGCAATATGGCCATCCTTCCCAGGAAATGTTTTCTTGTTTTCTGTCTCTGTCTCTCCGGCAAGTGCATGCACCCTAAATCTCTCTCTCTAAAAAAAAAAAAAAGAAAAAAAGAATTCAGATTGTTCTGACATGTAAAATAAATTCACACCATCCCAGAGTCCCCATACATCTAGTTATCTCCTAAGCAACCTCAGCATCAACTGCGAAGTTGAAAAATCTCTTACATATCATTAAATCAGGTGTGGGCCAAACTCCCAAGGCAGAAACGTACCAGCAAATACAGTATGTTACTGGGTGATCCCTCCCTAAGTTAAGGTGTCCACAGGCTCAGAATTTCCTCTGATCAACTCTGTCTTCTGAATATTATTTTCCTTTAGGCTTGATTTCCTGGATGAGTCAAAGATACGCTTTGTGTTCTTAATCAGGAAACACGTTTGTAGAGAAAAATCCCACATTTCTTAACGATTTTTGTGGGCTCCAATCTGTGCCAACAGCATTGTGATTTGTTCTTTTTAGGGACTGGTGGTATTTCTGTATTTTTAAACCCACACTGAAATGCTCTTTCTCCTGCCTCGTCTGTAAATATGCTCAGAGATTCGAAGGCAACAACTGCTGTCTCTGGTGTTCGATCATGTCTGAGGATTTATTAGCATCTTTCCTCAACGCTAAAGCTTAGTTGCTTAGCTCAAAGTGTGTCCCCCAAAACACCCACATCCCTGGTGCCACAGTTCTGAAATTTAAAAGACAACACAAATCCATTCCTGTCTTTTTTTTTTTTTTTAATTTTTTATGTTTGTTATTGTGGCATTGTAGTATAGTAGTGGTTGAGAATAGAAAACATAGAATAGCATTATTACCTTGGGGTAAGTTAAGTAAAAATTTCTTTCTTTCGGGACCAGCAGTTGGCATAATGGCTGTGTCGCAGGACTCCCATGTAGTCGACCGCGGTTCGAGTCCTGGACCCGGTGGCTTAAACTCACGCCGGGCACTTGTGCATGCGTGCCCAAGATCCCGAGAGGAGAAGGGATTGCGGCATGGCCATCCCCCCAGGGGGTGATTTCTCTCTTTCTGTCTCTCTGTCTCTCTCTGTCTCTCTGGCAAGCACATGCACCCTATAGCAAAAATCTCTTAAAAAGAAAGAAAGAAAGAAAGAAAAGAAAGAAAGAAAGAAAGAAAGAAAGAAAGAAAGAAAGAAAGAAAGAAAGAAAGAAAGAAAGAAAGAAAGAAAGAAAGAAATAGAAGTCTTTCTTTTTTTTGGAGAGGTTTTTGGCCCGGAGCAGTGTGTCCCACTACTTCTCAGCAAGAAGGCCAAGCCATCTGTGCACTCAGCCGTCCACCACCAGAACCCCATACTGAGGGACTGCGCCCTGTAACACGTGCTGTATCGGCCAGGGAATTGGCTGGGAAACAAAACAGCTGGCTGTGATGGGAGAGACATTCAGGAAGAAGGACCGGTTCCTGCAGTGTAGGTCGGATTCAGAGCACAGGGATGGATGGTGAGGCACGGGGGCACCGGCAGGAGAAAGGCATCACCCTCCATCATCCTGAGGCCCCCAGGGCCTTGGGCGAGCTGGAGCCGGGTGAGAAGCAGGGCAGGCAAAGGGCGCCTGCCCCGTGGAGCTCTTGTCATTGAGGCAGAGAGGGCATGGGCGGAAGTCCTCGGCCTTTCTCTCTTGCAGTGCTGCACCTTCGACTGGCCTCCCACTGGCCTCGCCAGGAGCCAGAGACCAGGCAGCTCAGGTGGGCATCTGCAGAGGTCACCTTCCCGGCCACAGAGGAGGGTAGAGCCTCGATCAGGGGTGCGAGGGCGAGGCAGTCAGCCCTGGAGGGCCTATGACAGCAGCAGTAGACAGTCTCCCCATCGGAGGGCCTCTAATAGCTGGCCTGTCCGGAGTGATCCGAGGCCCCCCGGCACTCAGGCGCTGGGTGAGAAGATGCCCAAATGGGAGCTCAGCATCTGTTTTCAGATTTGATAGTATCCCTCTGAGCAGTCCGTGTGGATAGATGACATCGGGTTTGTTGTAGAATGAGTTGCTGAAGCTTGTCATTGAAGCTTGGTGATGTCCGTGTGTTCTAGCTAAATGGGCGACGTTCTCTGTCTGACTTTCATCATACACTTATATTGATGTGTGTGTGTGTGTGTGTGTAAAGAATTATTGTATTTATGTACTTATTTATTTACTTATTTAGATTTGACCAGAGAGGAACGGAGTAAGACAGAGAGAGAGAGAAAGCAAGCTGTCAGATCTGGGACTTGAACCGTGATTGGCCATGTAGGAGTCTAACACCCCAACCACCACGCCACTTTCCAGCCCCTATTTATTTAAATAGATATAGATATATTAGAGAGATGTTTGCTATAGAACACATGCACTCACTGGAGAGGCAGAGAGAGAAAGTGAGAAGTCACCCTCCCAGGGGGGATGGCCACACCACAGTCCCTCCCCTTCCAGTCTCCTGTTGGGATTTGGGGCATACACGCACACGTGCCCAGCGTGAGCTTCAAGGCACCGGGTCTGAGACTCAAATCACAGCCGGCCACATGGGAGTCCAGCACCTTAACCACGATGCCACCTGCTGGCCCCATCATGCACTTTCAAGTCGATGATTGCTAGGGTCAGTAGGTGGCATGGTGGTTTAGGCTCCGGACTCCCACACAGAAGACCACGGTTTGAGTCCTAGCATGGTGGCTTGCTTTCTCACTTTCCATCTCTCTCTCTCTCTCTCTTTCTTTCTCTCTCTGGTGAGCACATATACCCTAGAACAAACTTAAAATAATACTAATAATAAATTAAAATAAATAAGTCTACAATGGCACGACAGGTTTCAGAAAGCGGACTTCAGAACATAACGTGGAAAGGCCTCGTTTTCTTCCGTTGCTGTGCCAACTTGTGGATGGTATGACAGCAGAACACTACTAATAAAACGTGCCTACCCGGGGCCGGCACATGGCGTATGGTTACATCCCTGCACTTCCACAGGACTGATTGCGGTTCGAGTCCCGGACCCGGTGGCTTGAAAATCGTGCCAGGCACATGTGTGTGTGCATGCCCGAGGTCCTGGAAGGAGAATGGAAGGAGAATGAAGGGGAGGGGATTGATGCGTGGCTATCCCTTTTGGGGGTGATTTCTCTTGCCTGCTCACTGTCTCTGTCTCTCTCTTCCTCTCCAGCAAGCACAAGCCGGGGAGGGGGGGAACCCACACACCCGATTGATTCCAGTGCTCAGGTTTCAAAGGAAATCAACATTTCCATTATGCACTTTGATAACTGCGTCTACTCCTTTATTTATTTTTTAGAGACAGATTTTTGCCATAGGGCACCTGAACTCACCAGAGAGACAGAGAGACAGAAAGTGAGAAATCATCCCCCAGGGGGGACAGCCACACCCCAATCCCTTCTCCTCCATTCTCCTCTCAGGATCTTGGGCACGCACGCACACGCACCCGGCGTGAGTTTTAAGCTGCTGGATCCGGGACTGGAACCGCGGTTGGCTACATGGGAGTCCAGCGACATAGCCATTACACCATCTGCTGGTTCCGCTGACTCCTTTATTTTAACGAAGCAGAGCGACTGTCTGCAATGGCGAGAACCCGGAGCTGTAGTCTTGCACTCAACAGCGTCCCTCATTGCTCTATCCCCTTCCAGGAGGACCGCGGTGAGTTTCGTGGCCTACTGCTGCTCCACCCAGTGTCTGCAGACGTTCGACCTGCTGAGCTGATGAACACCCATGTGGCCACCGCGTGCACCCGGGGAGGAGAGTCCAGCCAGCCCAGACGGGCCCTTGCGTCCTGTCTCGTCCAATGCAGGGCACTGCAGAACTCTCCGGAAAGGTCATGGTTGAACTTCAGACCTACATGCCTTCACCCTCCTCCCCCAAGTTGGAATAGATCCTCCCCCAAATGAAGGACCCTTTGTCCTCTTGTGTTTTCTTTCTACGTGAGTGAGCGTGTCTCGTATGCAAACTGACTCCATGTTTGGCCACCCCAGTCTAATTTAAAGCACCTTTCAGCCTCCCGAAGGACTATAATTTGATAATACCGGAGTTAAATTAACTTTGGGGCATACACCCCTTCAGTTGATTTTCATCTCTCTTTCCCCAGAGAATCATTTCCTCGAGAGGTTATTGTCCCTGGTTTTTCCATTGGAGACTCATCAGTTTTTAAAGAGTTGCAGCAAACCCCTGGTCTCAGTGGTGTTGACGATCAGAGCAGGGCGCCCAAGTTGGCTGTGAAGTCAGAATCCCACAGAGACTCTGCCGGCATCCCAGAACATCCTCTGAGGAGTTACCACCTTATTTATTTATAAGTTTCACAATGTATTTTTTAAAATGTTGTTTAATTTTATTTATGCATTCATTTTATTTTAATTTGACCGGAGAGAGACACAGAGACAGAGAGAGAGAGAGAGAGGGAACGTAAGAAAGCAAGCTGCCAGGTCCGGGACTTGAACCATAGTCAGCCACGTGGGAGTGTCGAGCGCCTTAACCACCACGCCACCGGCTGGTCCTGTTTCCTAGTGTATTAACAGGCTTCTCCAAGGGATTTTAAGAACCAAAACTAGAAATGGTTATGAAATGCATTCTTAGCTTAAAAGACCATTTACAGACAAAGAACTTTTGAAATTTTTATGTTTCTTGATTTTTTTCTTTTTTTTTTTCAATATGAGAAGAGCTGAAGGAATATGAGACTTTTGAAAGACCTGATCCAGGCTAGCTCTGTAGTAGTTAAGCAGCTGCATCCCACATGACCAAGCTCTCCATCTGAGTCCCGGCCCCATGGCATGAGAAACACGTTGAGCACACGTGCATGTGTGTGCGTGCCCAATGTCCCTGTAAGGAGAGTTCTGGGATCAGAGAAGGGATTGAAGCGTGACCGTGCCCCATGTGGTGCTTTCACCCCTCCTTTTCTATTTAAGGGGAGCATATGTGCCCTCTAACAACACACACACACACACACACACACACACACTGAGAAAGCAGGCTGCCAGGTCCAGGACTTGAACCATAGTCAGCCACGAGGGAGTGTCGAGCCCCTTAACCACCACGTCACTGGCCGGTCCTGTTTCATAGTGTATTAACAGGCTTCTGCAAAGGATTTTAAGAACCAAAACTAGAAATGGTTATGAAATACATTTTTAGCTTAAAAGACTATTTACAGACAAATAAGTTTTGAAATTTTTATGGTTCTTGATTTCTTTTTCTTTTTTTCAATATGAGAAGAGCTTAAGGAATATGAGACTTTTGAAAGACCTGATCCAGGCTAGCTCTGTAGTAGTTAAGCAGCTGCATCCCACATGACCAAGCTCTCCATCTGAGTCCCGGCCCCATGGCATGAGAAACACGTTGAGCACACGTGCATGTGTGTGCGTGCCCAATGTCCCTGTAAGGAGAGTTCTGGGATCAGAGAAGGGATTGAAGCGTGACCGTGCCCCATGTGGTGCTTTCACCCCTCCTTTTCTATTTAAGGGGAGCATATGTGCCCTCTAACAACACACACACACACACACACACACACACACACACACACACACAAATTCTTGGGGCCAGCAGGTGTGTCGTGGTTAAGGCACTAGACTCCCACATGGCCAAATGCAGTTCGAGTCTCAGACCTGGCAGCTTGGAACTCATGCCAGGTGCTTGTGCGTGCGTGCCCAAAATCCTGAGAGGGGAATAGGGAAGGGAGTGGGGCGTGGCCATCCCTCCTGGGGTGGTGATTTCTCTTCCTGTCTCTCTGTTTCTCTCTGTCTCTCCAGCAAGCACACACACCCTATAGCAAAAATCTTTCTCTCAAAAAACAAAAAAGATTATTTTATTTTTAGATTTATACATTTTCCATGTAATGAGAAAGGAAGGTAAAATGCACATCAAAATAAGATCTCCAGGGGCCAGCAAGTGGCATAGTGGTTAAGGTACTGGACTCTCACTTGGTAGACTGTGGTTCGAGTCTCAGATCTGCTGGCTTGAAAATCATTAAAGTTATATGTGATTCAATGTAATATAAGTAAGACTATGATAATAATAAATAATTTTTTTAAAAAAGATCACACTGGGCACAAGTGCGTGTGTGCCCCAAATCCTAGGAGAATGGAGGAGACAGGACTGCAGCCTGTGTATCCCACCTGGGAGCAAGGTGGTTTTGTCAGTTTCTCTCTCTCCAGTGAGCACATGCACCCTGTGGCAAAAACCTTAAATAAATAACTAAATCAAACCTCCAGTGCACTGGTTAGATGGTTTATGATTACTTTTTTTTTTTTTTAAAGTTTTTTGCTATAGGGCATGTGCGCTCGCCAGAAAGACAGAGAGAGACAGAGAGACAGAAAGTGAGAAATCACCCCCCAGGAGGGATGGCCACGCCGCATCCCTTCTCCTCCATTCTCCTCTTGGGATCTTGGGCATGCATGCACATGCACCTGGCATGAGTTTAACCTGCCGTGTCCGGGACTCGAACCGCGGTCGACTACGCGGGAGTCCAGCGACATAGCTATTACGCTAACTGCTGGTCCTCCATTTATGATTACATTTATAATGACTGAGAAACATTTTTGTTACATGTGAAACACAGACTTCAGCTACACCTGCTCTGGTTTGCAGCTCAGCAATTCTAGCCTATACACCTGTATTTTTTGTTTTTTGAAAAGAATTATTTATTTTAATTACAAAATTATTCATTCATTTATTTTAATTTAACCAGAGAGAGAGAGAGAGAAAGTGGGAAAGCAAGTCACCAGGTGCGGGACTCAAACCGTGTTTGGCCATGTGGGAGTGTCCAGTGCCTTAACCACCATGCCACCTGCTGGTCCCCCACCTGTACTTGTTTGCCTGTTGCATGAGGTTATCTTCATTCTGACCCTCCATTTCTTTTCTTTTCTTTTTTTTTTTTTTTTAAGAAGTATTTTATTTAACTTTATTTTAATTTGACCAGAGAGGGACAGAGTAAGAAAGAGGGAGAGAAAGTAAGAAGGCAAGCTGCTAGGTCCAAGACTCGAACCATGGTCGGCCAGGTGGGAGTCCAGTGCCCTTAACTACCACACCACCTGCCGGGCCCCTAACCCTAGATTTCTTATACACTGAACATCCTGTTGTCTGATACCACTGAGAAAAATACAGAAGAAGCAGGTCCAAATTCAGCCATGGCCCCTTGGGCGAGAGTCCGTAAGTGGAAAATCAGCAAGCCCACACCCTGCCCGAGGAAATGCTCTGAGTGGAATCATCACGTTTTTCTCTCCCTTGGAAAGGCTGGCCTTTAAGGGTTGCACGGCTGCCAGGTGTTCATCGCACAGCCGCTGCGAAGTGACTCTCCTTCAGACGTTTTCAGTTTAACGATGCTGAGTTTTCTATAAGGCGGAACCGAAAGGAGACCCCAAGACTTGAGTAGAAAAATCCTTTTCCGAGAAAAAACAAAAAAAAAATCTCAGACTTGTCTAAACTTCAGCCTGTGGAATGTCATTAGCTGCCCTCGCTCTGTCATTTCCGACTCTTCACGGTGCCCCAGATCCTGCACCGTTAGTGACAAACGTGTGATCTCTTTGCAGTCACACCACCTGCTGCCTGGAAAGCCGGCCATCCGCGTCGAATGGGGAAGGCAGGAAGTTCTCGTGGGTTCCAGCCACATCCGCACTGTCCTCACTTCCCCTTCTCCCTTTTCATCACTCGGCCTGTTGAGCCTTAACATTTCAAAGGCTGATAGTATAATAGGAACTGAAGATCGCTCTCAAAGTGCACCACTCCTTTCATCCTCGGGACTAATTGAAGTTTTAGTGGAACCCCTCCATGTATGTAAGTTGGCGGACGAGAAATGTGGCATGGAACTTCACAAGTGCACTTTAGGCATTAAGTGGCCGCTCTCTGTTGCTTAAGTGAGAGAAAATGTATTGATACATCGTTCTGTTTCACCCTGTGCAATCACATGTCTTGATTATTATTATTATTATTTTTTTTAGAGAGATTTTGCTATGGGGCATATGTGCTCGCTGGGGACACAGAGAGAGACAGAAAGTAAAAATCACCCCCCCCACACCCCCCCAGGGATTGGCCACACTGCGTTCCCTTCCCCTCCATTCTCCTCTCAGGATTTTGGGTACACACATACACACACCCAACGTGAGTTTCAAGCTGCTGGGTTCAGGACTCGAACTGTTCTCAGCCAGGTAGGAGTCCAACGCCTTAACCACTATGCCACTTGCTGGACCCACAATCACATGTCTTAAAATGGAGCTAGGAAAGTGGTAACCTGATATTCAGGATTCTCTCTGAGGTAAGGTAAGCTATATAATACTTAAAAAAAAATTTCTTTGTAATTGTATAAGATGGATACAATCCAAGCATCCTCTCTCCACCTGTTATAATAAACTACCATGTATTGAACACCAGCAGTGGGCTGGGCACATAGTCAAACCCTAACTCTTGGGAACAGTACCTGAGCTTCGCTGGAGGGTAGTGGAACTTATAATGTGATTTCCCTGGTGATTTCCATTATGGAAAAATTGTGCCAGATACCCTGATGTCATTCTTAAGCTTTTAATATTATAAAGGAGTGCTGATTTTTGCAGAAAATGTGCCCGCATCCTGTGTATTTTGAATTGTATACAAAACTTTGCATAAAAGCAAACCTAAAGATATTATAGATGTTGTTTCTTGAGTGGACAGTTGTGCTAGGTACAAAAATATTTTGCACAACAATAGTGGGGAAAAAAAGTAAGCCATTTGGAAAGTATATCACGATTTGTTCAGGTAAGTGTATGTCAAAGAGCACATGTGTGGTTTGTGGTCAGTTTTTGAAGATCCAGGATATCCCTGAGTGTTGACCTTCCTATGATGAGTGCAAAGGGCATTTTTTTTGGTGGTGGGGGGTGGGGACGAGGTTTGTTTATTTGTTTGTTTTTAGGTTTTTGCCTTCAGATGCATGTGCT